TTAAAGGAGTTAAATGGAAACATTTTACTGAAAATTAACCCATTCTTTTATCCTAATAAATACCTTCACTTTTTAGAAGATAAAAGAGCCTTTCCAGGATTTAGAAGAAGCAAAAAAAATGTTAAACAGATATACAAGGAATACTGAGCCACACAGAATGACCTTACAAGTATCGGATTTATATCCGGTACAAACATTGGTATTTTTCAATCCCTCAATGTAATCTTGACCGTCTGTGTACCTGGGTCCACACCATGGTCTCTTGACCACTTAGACACAGGTTCACAGTTAAACTGTTCTTATGTTCCTCCACAGCTCAGCCCTTCTTACGTATTTGGTAGCACGTAGACATGTGACTCGTTAGAGGACTTTGGACAGAATTGAGGAGCAAATTATGAACTTTTTAAGAAGCTTATTCTTCTATAAATATTTGTCATTCTTACCTCTTTCTCTGGGCCCATCTCTGTCTCTTAGCTTTCCTGTCTATAGTCTCCTGGTTCTGTACCCACTTCTTTGGTTATTCCTCTGGGTCTGCTTTGCCATCTTGTCCCCTACATGTGGTCAAACCCTAAGGCTCAGTCGTGGCTCAGTCTTGCCTCTAGAAGTGTTTTTGGAGGTGTCTGTGCAAAGCATTGGTATGGGATAGTGAATGTGGCCGTGGTGCATAGAGAGTTTCAGATTGAGTGGCTGGGTGAGGGGGGGTCTGGTTAGGAAGCTTGTGCTGTCCTGAGCTAGTGAGGTTCTAGATCGTGACCGACTGTCACAGTGAAACTAGAAGGAAAGGATATACAGGAGGCTTTGGAAAGATATGATTACGGCAGTTGGTACAAATGGATGTGCGTGTGTGCATGTGCGCAGGGTAGAGGGGTAGATGTAGAGAGGCAGAAGGTCTCGCCAGGGATGTTCACAAGCCTTGAGTCAGACCCAGAGATAATGGAATCCTAAATATGTCTGGGTAAGCAGGAAGCAAAAGCTGTTGACGACTCCTTGTCACTCACGGGTTTGGGTCTGTTTGGGACATAGTTGGCATCAGGCACTTTCTCAGTCCTCAGTCTTTCCGGGCCATCCGCCACCTTCATTGTCCTTGTCCCTCTTTTGCCTTCCCTGGCCTGGAAGTGGAATTTCTAAGTTCTTCACTTTGCCTCCGGTCTGATGAAGAGACTGTCTCATTATAGCTGTTTCCTCTGCACCGAATGTGGTCGAGCCTCAAACCAGGAGGTGTGAAGCATGATTTGACTTTCCTGTCTTTTAATTGATCAAAAATGTCCTTTCTGTCAACTCTTGAGTCTTGAGTCTCACAACTCCTTGTGTCCTTGACAACTGAACAAAGGAAGAAGGGTCAGGAGATCCAGGTTGTAATTAATATCGTATTGTTTGCTTAGTAATTTGGAAAGAGTTGTTTCATAGTCCATGAAAATGATCATCTCTGAAGTTTTTGAGGGAGTCTGTATACTAGTCTATATACTAAGTCTGTATACTAAAGACTTAACTGGGCAACTTTTAAGATTTCATTGCCTCTGGAGAGGAGTAGGACCAATGTTACTTTGCTTGGTTGGAGCGGTGTAGGGTCTAGGAAGGAGAGAGGCCCAAGCCAAATTCCTTAATCTTGGCAGACTCCGGAGGGGAAAGCTGAGAGCCCTGCTGAGGTCAGTTATCTGTGCTGCTCGATTTCTCTTTGGGAGAATCACTTCCCTGTAGACAGGTCACTGATGACACTGCACCAAAAGCATTCGCTGTCAGACTCACATAGCCAGTTACATCCGTGTTTACAAACGCGATTCTACCCTGTCTTCTTCCTTTTCAAGGCCTCTTTAAGACCTGCAAACTTCTTCCTGCATTAAAAATTGCCTCCCTTCCTCCCTTCCTGCCTTTCTTCCTTCAGATAAACCTCAGCTGTGCTAAATTGGACTAGTAATCCTTGGTTTATGCATGGCTCTCACTTAGTAATTAAGTAGTTAATTAACTAACTAAGGAATGAACAACTTTGATGACATCATCCAACTGGAGAAGAACACTGTTGGTAGTTTGTATTTACCTGTGTGCTCCTCTCCGCCCCAGCCCGTGTGCCTCTTTTCCCTTACCCTTTTGCATTTATTATTCTGTTGCCTTTTTTCTGGTTGTTTCAGTCGTTTTATCATAAGTGTGTATATTTATGTGTGTACATATGTATACCTAAGAACATATATATCCATATATGTGTATGTGTGGGTCTGTAACCTAAGTCTATAACCTCAGTGATACACTGTTTACTTTTAGTTCTTTGTGAACTTTATAAGGTTATTATTCTATATGTGGTAACTTGGAATTATCTTTTTAAAGTCAGTATTATGTTATGAATATTCACCCAGAGTTATGTGCAGCTTAGTTAACCCATTTTTTCATTGCTGGATGATGTTCCGCTCTGTCAATATGTTACAGAATTGGGGTTGTTTCTAAAATAATTGTGGTTAGCAACAGTACTGCTAGGATTATTCTTATTCATATTTCCTGTGCAGGGAGTTTTTAGTTTTTACAGGCTTCCTTTAAGATTCAGTGGGAGTGTGTGTGTGTGTGTGTGTGTGTGTGTATATTATATATGATACTATATATAATATAAATTATATATAATACCATACATATAGTATTACATATATTGTATATATTATATGTATATAATACTATATATACTATACTATAATAGTATATACTACTATATATATACTATATAATATGTAATACATGTAAATGATATGTATTTGTGTTTTAGAAATGGGGACTAGAATGATGATACACAGAAAGTAAGGAGGCCAGATGAGAGATTGTCATAAAAATCCAAGAAATACTGAGAGTCTGAGCATGAGCACTTGGAAACGGAGAAGAGCAAGTTAGGTCTGAGGGAAATTGGGGATGGACCTGGTAGCACCTGGAAGGTTAATTGGCCATGTGGTTTGCAGAGAGAGTGAGAGAGAGCGAGAGAGAGTGAGAGAGAGCGAGAGAGAGCGCTTCTCCCGCGTTCCCTCCGAGGTGCAGAGGTAGAAGGTGCCCCTATTAATAGAGATATACAATAAAAGATAGCAGAGGAGGGTTTGGAAGGAAACCCAGTGAGGTCACTTTTGGCGGGTTGAGCTTTAGGAACCTTGGAGAATCTCTGTGTGGGATGATGGTAGACAGTTGTAAACACTGACTTTTTAATACGGTGAATGAGGTCATTCGCACCCTGTCGGGGAGTGTTAAGTTATGAAGATTCTTGCAGGTGAGCTTTTGGGTGACTTTTTGCAGGCTGTTGACCTGTGAGAGGTCATCCCATCTTAGCACTTGAGGAATGCTGGGGAGAAGGTTGATCTGGCCTTGGCCTCTGAGCGGTACATTTTGGAACTGTAAAAAGGAAGATTTTGTTTATGTTGACGATCCCGATTTATCATTAAAAGTTTATGTTGTTTCAAAGCAGATATGTATCTTTATCTGTTTTGTAATTAGTTAAGGAAAAGTCCTGTCAGGTTTTAAGGAAACTTTTTGACTAAATTTCTGTTCTTTGAAATGTTCACTTCTCCACAGTAACTGATTTCCTAATAAGAAAGGTCAACAAGCATTATTTCTTAAGTGAGTAAAACGATGGAAGTAGTTTTGAGTGAACAACTTTGCTCTTCATACACACTGTTTTCTTTTCTCTTCTTTTCTTTCAGTTATCTGACTGGATCAAGATTGGAGATCTGACTTTCAGAAACTGTCATCTTTTTGTAAACCTTCAATCAAAAGGCTTAAAAGGGGGAGGTATTGAACTGATTTTACCAGGAGCCTGTGCCATTTTTAGTTGCATAACGGTTATGTTTTAAACGTGCAATGAAGGTATATTCCACGGGATGTGATGAGGCTGTATCAGGCTGGAAAACCAGGGTGGGCGGAGCTAGCGAATTTTCTATGAGAACGTGCGGGGTATAGTACCCTGCGAAGCAGAGTCCTGCCGGGGCTTGGGCCCGCTGGGTGCTGCACCCCGACGATGGAGATAAATTTGTAGTGATGATTTCGCTATTTTACGCCCAGTTTTGTTTGTGTGTTTTTCTGTGCATCTGAGAAGTTACTTCCCTTTCCCCGTCCTCTCTATACTTCCCTGTCAGCTCTCCGAAGGTCACCGGGTCAGTCAATTCTAAGCATCTCTCGGTGAGGAAATGCTTAAGGGTATTTGAACTGGACAGCTATCGGGACAGTGACTGGGCCGATTTCAGCGTAATCGGAACGTCAGTTGGGTTTGAGACTATCAACCATGGCCTAGTAGCCGCCACTATCTCTGGCTTATTTCTTAGCGGCAAGAGCACCCACAAAAGACTGCCATTGACTTCGCTTGCTTTGGAGCCTGGCGACAGCCTGCCCCATGCTCTCCGTCTTTGAATGAATAATCTTTTGTGATATATGGTCTGTTTGTGAGCCTTTTTTAAAAACCGAATTTTGTACTTTGATTAAAAAGGTGGAGATTTGATAAATGAGTCCGCTCTGCTCCTACTGTGTCTGGCCAGGTAGATGTTCAGAGCCGAGAGCTGCGACAGCTCATGTGAAGTCATAACTTGTCCAAGTTTCCTTAGGTCTTGGAACCAAACAGCACGTGGGCAACAGCCGGGGGATTTTTCTTCTAAAATCAGTTTTTAAGTGCGTTCTGTGCTTTAGGTCGGTTTGGTCAAACAACCCCCCCGCTTGTTGATTTTCTCAAGGACATTTTAAGAAGATATCCGGAAGGAGGACAGATCCTTAAGGTAAGGGCGTGTGTTGTATACGTGTGTGAATTTACTTTGGCAAAAAAAAAGAGTTGGGAGTCCCGGTGGCGTTTGACTTTTGAAACACGTTGTCTAGATTTGAACAGCTGCACTTCCTTCCCTCCACGCCTGCTGGCTCGGTCGGGCTGTGAGTGCGGCCGTCGTAAGGACGCGAGGGTTCAGAGGCAAAGGAGCCCGCTCAGTTGCTGGGTGCTGTAGTCAAGCACAGTGTGGCTCTAGGAACGCTTTTTTCAATAATCTTATGTAAATACATAATGTAATTTTACAACTTTTGTGGAACATCGTGTGGGGCCGCTGCAAACCAACCGGTTGACCGAATGGACAAAATAATGCAAACCCACATTCAGGGGCCATGAGCACATTTGACCCCTGGGTTTAGAAAGAGGTTTACTTCTTCTTCTTTTTTTAAATATGAAATTGATTGTCAGATTGGTTTCCGTATAACACCCAGTGCTCATCCCAAAAGATGCCCTCTTCAATGCCCATCACCCACCCTCGCCTCCCTCCCACCCCCCATCAACCCTCAGTTTGTTCTTGGTTTTTAAGAGTCTCTTATGGTTTGGCTCCCTCCCTCTCTAACCTTTTTTTTTCTTTTTTCCTTCCCCTCCCCCATGGTCTTCTGTTAAGTTTCTCAGGATCCACATAAGAGTGAAACCATATGGTATCTGTCTTTCTCTGTAGGACTTATTTCACTTAACATCACACTCTCCAGTTCCATCCACGTTGCTACAAAATGGTTTTAGTTGTTTATTTCTATTTACAGTGTATTCTTTTAGTTTGAATACACTCACTGAAAACCAAAAACCAAAAAACCAAACAACCATAATAGAAGAACCTGCAAAAATTATTTGGTGTTTAAGCTTCCTAAGAAACCTGCTCAATTAACTGTAAAAGTAGATCAACTATTTGCATTTTTCTCCCCCCTAATTTATTTTAATGTTTATTGCCTTTCATATCCTGGTCTTCATTATATGTTTTAGTTTGGATGGTAAGTTTCTAGAAAGTAAGGATTAGGTGTATTTAATTGAACTTACGTAGTTGTTCTTGGAAAGGTGCTGGTTGCAGATTGCTCCCATCGTTAGTGATTTTAATGACGGTATGTTGGAGCAAATTAAGGTCATCTTTCAGCATAGGTTCACAGAAGGTTCACAGAACCTTCAGTGGTTCACAGAAAGTGAGCTTGGAAACTATTTTATTTCAGGATGCTAGGACAGTATGGGGAAAGTGTGGATTGTCAGGGGGTAGACAGAGGTGAATAGAATCCATTTAAAATTTTTTTCAAGTTTATTTATTTTTAGAGAGAGAGAGAGTGAGTGAGCAGGGGAGGGGCAGAGAGAGAGAGAGGGAGAGAGAGAACCACAGGCAGGCCCCGCGCTGTCAGCACAGAGCCCGATGTGGGGCTCAAACTCACGAACTGTGAGATCACGACCTGAGCCGAAACCAAGAGTCGGACATGTAACCCACTGGGCCACCCACGTGCCCCAAAGCTAAGCGACTTTAAGTGAAGATTTAGTTGGTGGTAATGGGAGTAGGGGCTCGTCAGTTCAGAAGCAAGTGACTGGGGACTGAGGGGACACAGGGCAGGGGTTTGGGCGAGGTCTTTGTACACCTTAAAGTTGGCAAGCAGCCCGCGGTCCTTCGCTCTCCTTACTGCGTGCATTTGTGTGCGAGCCGGCTCAATATCATCTCTGTTCTTTGGATATTGTGGTCGAATTCGGCACTTAGAGATTTAATTAATAGGAATCATAGAAATTACCTACACTCAGGTCACTGTCCTCTGTGATGTTTGCTGGAACAAATCTGGACGTAGTTTAGTGACTTGCCCAAGATCATATGCAAATTGGCATATTTATTGCCTCTTCTCAGAATTAGTTTGGAAGAGATCCCCTGACAAAAAGCATCCCATCCTATTTTTTGTTCAACTTGAGACTGTTAGTTGGGGCCTGGGACTTAACAGGTTTTATCTCCAGTGTTCCTTCTCTCTGCTCCCTAAAATACACAGAAATCACTCACAGATAATCCAAATGGAAACAAGATCCAGCTTCTAAAGTGCTATTCGTTTTGCAGGTGAACGTTGTATTTTGCTACCGATTATTCTTATTTCTGTCTTTTGTATTATAATTTCCTAATGTAAATAAGATTGCTATGTTTTAGGGGTTCTTTTAGACTGAATAGGGTAGGGATAGGTCTTAAAAATCTTTTTAGAAATAGACAGTTGCGTAACTAGGAGGAATTTGTAGATGACAAGGAGGTAGCTAAGGGCATGGTTCAAATGTTCGTGTTTGGGGTTGAACAGCAGGTGGGATTAAGATCCCCCCCACCTTTCGGTGTGCATTGGGTGAACCCTGACGCCATCCCTGGTCTCAGAATTAGCTCTCCAGTTCTGCTGTGTCCCCTCACTCGGCCATGGTGGTGTCGTGTCCCGTGGGCACCGTATCTCTTCCCTACGTGATAAAGGCTTTGCTGTTGGCATTGCCATGGGATCAGTATAAGCTCTCTTCACTTCTCGTCCATCCTTGACTGCTCCCTCCTCTCCTTCAGGGTGAATACTACAGACGGAATTACTGTGTTTTAAAGACCCATCCATCAAAAATGAAGCCAGTTGATTTGGTTTAGTCTGTGTCAGAGCTCATCCAGGAGTTGTCATCTGTTGCCTTTTCCTTACTTTAGATGCATGATGCTGGTGTTGGCTTTAAGAGTTGGACTCCTATTTCAGAGTCTGGCAGAGCTCCCTTCAGATGGACCAGAGCCCAAGATGTTTTTGGTGGGCACGCCAGAGTGATTGGGGCTGTTGAGGAAAAGGATTTTGGGGGGACTACCGATGGGTGTGTAAGCCTTGTAGTTTGCTCTTTCCTTTCTACATTGCAGAGGTGTGATCACCAAACAAATCCGCCAAACAAATAACATTGCTGCCTTCTTTATGGGAAAGGAATGAGTCAGTCCTGACTGCGAATAAGCTTTTAGCTTTAGTGCAGGAGAAAGACAGGGTCAGATTGCAACTTCTCAAGCATGCAGACTAGTAAGCGGTACATATAAACCGATACATTTTTTTTCTCAGAAAAGGTGAGTTTGGTAAGGGACTGGTAAATAAAGGTCTGTCTTTGGTAGCTGCTTGAGAACAAGCTGCCCGTCGCAGAACCAGAACCACCCATGCACCTTTCAGAGGTGGAGTCATTTCTTTTGAATGAAGGCTTGTATAGATTGTAAGTCAGCGTTGTAAACAGTGTCAGGATTTGTACTGGGGGACAGGAGATGGCAAGTTAAAAGTTGCATGTTAAGTGTGTCATTGGAGAGGGACTCACGAGCTCTCAACCGTGCTCTCATATGCGTGTGACAGTTACTTGCAGTCATATCCCCACCGGATTTAAAGGTAATGATGCGGTCGTTGGTTTCTGTGACTGAAATGTAATTACTTTTTAAATAGTATAGGAAGTTCAAAGATGGGCAATAGATTGTGTGTTATTAAATGTTATTTTTTGGTGTATTTTCTTGATTAGGAATTAATTCAGAACGCAGAAGATGCAGGGGCCACAGAAGTTAAATTTTTATACGATGAAACTCAGTATGGAACGGAGACTCTTTGGTCAAAAGATATGGCACAATATCAGGGTAAGAATCGATAATCAGTTATTGATTGATGTGGGTGGGAAGAGGGCTTGAAGGAGACAAGGGAATAAGGACAGCGAAAGGTAAGACAGTAAGATAACCGTGACCAATAGACCCCAGATACCTCGGTCCTACTCTGGGACGTGCTGTGTTCAAGAGAACGTTCATAACTTTGAGTGCAACTTACAAGTCAGATGGAGGATATATGTGACTGTATATGACTATATATGGTAGAAAGTTATTGAAAATAACAAGGATTGATTCTGACATCCCTGAATATATTTTAAAGAGGTGCAGGTCCTGTATTTTTGAAAACATGTTTTAGGATTTAGGAGGGTGATCAAAACTGTTGTTAACTATGTAAACGTTATATAGTTAACGCTTATTAGAGCTGATATATCGTTCTCTGGTCAGACCTGGGACAGGCAGGTTGCACGTGTGTGTCGTGTGACGAGGCGCGAGGAGACCTGCCATGCCTGGCGGCTGCCCGTGTGCACCGGGCTGCCCCTGCCTCGGTGGTGGGGGCAGGTGGCCCCTCTGCCGTCGTCCGGTTTCACGATGACGGCTGCCGGGTCAGGCGTCCTGGTTCTGGCATTCCTGATTCCTGTAGCCGTGGTTGGAAGATACCGGGCGTGGATCGGAGGGAGGGTCTTTGGTTCAGGTCCTGGTCCCACACGGGCCCACCCCCTGGCACATCTCCCCTGAGCATCGGTTCGCCTGGCGGCCGCTCTGATCCACCTACTCACTCACCGTGACCGAGCAGACGGCCTGGCCCCGCTTCGCTTCAGTCTGCTCTCCTGGAAATGGTAATAAGAACAAGGCCTGCCTCCCAGTGATTTTGTGGGTGAAGAGAGCTCCTCTGTGTGATAACGTTTTACGGCTGGTGTCACACTGATATTAGTCATTATGTGTGTACCTTAGAGGCACGAAGGGGACAGTGTGAGGAGATCCTAGAAGTATTTTGCTTCAAACTCCAACCCAGCATCTAGGATTTTTGCTTCCAGCCTTGACTTTACCTCATTTGAAAAAGTATTTGAAATAAAAATTATTTAACCGAATCAAGTACAGTTGACTCTGGGGGGACATGGGGGTTAGGGCTGTTGACCCCGTGCGGTCAAAAATCCCTGTATGACTTCTGACTCCCCCCAAACTTAACCACGGATAGCCTAGTGTTGACCAGAGCATCTTATCTGTAACATAAACAGTCGGTTAGCACATATTTTGTATGCTATATATATTCTATACTGTATTCTTACAGTAAACTAGAGGAAAGAAAATGTAAGGAAAATGATAAGAAAAGTAAAATACATGTTTAGAACTTATAAAAAAAATCCATGTATAATCTGTGTAGTTCGAACCCATGTTGTTCAAGGGTCAGCTGTATACGTAGATGGACTCTTGAAAGCATTATCAGATTAGCCAATTTAAAATAAACTTGGCCACATAAAACTAGGTAGAGGTGATCTCCGATCTCTTTATTTAACAAATACTTGTTGAGGGCCCTACATGTTCTTGCATATTTGAGCTTGTCTTTTATGTTCAGATGTGAATATTGTCTTAGGTGGTGTCATCTTGGATCTTAGTTTTGTTCCCCTTTATCGATACTTAGTTTTGCAAATGAGAACTTTTCAGTCCACCTTATTCTTGTTCTTGTATTTTTATATAACCAGATGACAAAAGACTCTGTCAAATCAGGTGCATAAGAATGAGGAGATCTCACCCAGTGTCCCACCAGTAAGGATTTCAAGGATGTGGTTAATTAAGAGACACGGTGAAGGAAGGCTGGAGAAGGGTCGGACTCCCCGCTCTTCCTGCTGGGTCTGTTCGTGCTGTGTTAGGGCACACCTGGGCCTGGAGTTAGCGGAGGTGGCCTCGGAATGATGCACGAAGGCCAGCACCTACACGGTCATAAAACACGTACATGTTTTTCTCCGACAGTTCAGTAGCTTGTGAGTTTTCCAGGACGTTGTGTCTCATAAATCTGTAAATTCCAGGTTTATTTATAATCGAGTTCTGAAGCCTCCACTAGACTCCTCGGCTAGCAAACAGCATGAGTGTGTTTGCCCAGAGGTCTGTCGTCAGCGTGTTTGCAAGGAGATTGGGCTGGGTTCTCTCTCTCTCTCTCTCTCTCTCTCTCTCTCTCTCTCTCTCTCCCCGCCCCCCCTTCTCTCTCCATATTCCCTTTTAAAAGGAGAAAGTAGATTGCAGGCCTGCTGCTAACCTTTCCTTCCCAGATAACTGCAACTTTTGTTAGAGAAAATTCTCTCAAGAGGTTTATTGTTTTGTTATCTCACTCTCAGAACCAGGAGATGTTCTTTTGATCAGGGCGGATTGGGGTATTTTAAAATTGATCTGCATGATGGAGGCGGAGATTCGGTGAGATTCAAGATGAACACAGAGGTGGAATACATACAGTTTCCTCCTGAGTCCCGGAGGCGTATGATCAGATAACACCTCGATCGAAACCATGAAAAAAGAACTGGGTGATACGTGCTGGGTGTGGAGGCCCGTGAGGACCGATGCGTCTAGCTGACTCACCCAGTTCTCTGCTGCCTGTGCAGGGTGGGGTGGGGGGGCTCCTCTGTGCACCACCCCGTTCAGACACCGACTGGCCCTCGTGGAAGGAATGTTCCAGAAGCCAGTGAGTAAGGGCGGTTCCACGTGCAGGGGGTCTGTCACCTGTGGATGTATAGCATCAGAACAGTTCTGATGTGTCAGTAAACCCTGAAGATCGAGGATGTGAGGAGGAAATTCCTTTTCCCGTGAAGCACTCCGCTTGAATTCGTACGAACGTGCATCTGTTATTTGGTAACTTGACAAATGTTTTGTAAAAGCAGCTGGGCAGCAAGGGATTTTCTGGCTGCTGGCGCGGAGGAAGGCAGGTCTTCCTTCAGGCTGGCCCGCTGTGCCTCCTTCCTGGCGCTGTGACCTGATGTGTTCCCGCTGGGTTCCTAATTCCCCTCCGTAGACCTGCTGGTTACGCACGTTCTTTCTAGATTCTGGCAAGAGCCTCGCTCCCAGTCCTCATGTTCTGTGTGGTCAGTGTTTGTGGTCCCCGTTTCTGTGTCTCCAGAGGTATGTTTAATGGAGATTTGGAGGAGGCAGAACCAGACATTGCCCACTGGATGCCATTCTAAACCAGCTGTCGTGAGCTCTTGGGTGGTACGATACTTATTTTATAGATCCCTATAACAGTTGTTTGGTTAGTCGCCAATACTTGTACATACCAGGAACAATATCTGACTGTGTAGGTGATTCCTCTGTGGTAGGTGTTGGGCCGGGGCCTTCATTTGTATGATCTCATCTGCGAGTGCGGTGCTGTCCTCATCCTTATTTTACTGACGAGGAAACTGAGCCTGAGTGGCTTTAGTTTGCCTGAAGTGATTCAGTTGGCAGTGGTGGATCCGGGTCTGACATCCAGCTCCCCTGGCCCCAGAGTCCCCTTCACCCGCTGTGGGCTTCTCCTCCTCAGACAAGCTTGGGAACTGTCATCTCCCTTCTTGGACTGGTTTGCACACAGCCGTCAGGCCGTTTTTGTAAAGCGAGCGATGGCCAACATCCCCGTATCGGAGCTGGAATTTATAGGTACGCGTGAAGAGGCTTCTGGGGGGTGCTGGCATGTTCTCTGTATTTAGTTGGAGGCTTCACAGGCTTATTCACTTTGTCAGAGTTCATCCAGGCCACACATGTAAGGTCTTTGTACTTTACTGTGTGTGTGTTTACTTCAGTAGCTTTTTAAAAGAAAAATGTTAATTATTTTTAAATATGATGAATTACTATAGTTGAACATACTCAAACAACGTTAGAGATTCTGAAGAGAAGTTTCAAAAAGTGATGCCCCCAAAATATGTTGAATTATAAATCCAGATTATAAATTCAAATATTTTGAGAACTTTGTAAAGGAACTACTTTAGAGACAGGGTAGCATTATTCTGAGGTGCTGATTTTAAAATTTGTCACATTAATGATTACAGTAGTTAGACAAGTAATGCCTTGAATAGAAAAATCCAAAGGCTGATGGAAACAAAAACAAACAAGGTGATTATTAACATGACTGCGGGATTATTTTCCTCCTTACGAAATAATATATTAACAAGGTTGTCGTAGATAGCAAGGCCTCCCGTACACGTACAGGTTATCGCATTTACAAAACAAAAATTTAAACATGCTATTTAGGAAGGAATGTTGCACAGTAATAGTGTACTCTGATTAATTTCCTTGTGTGCCCTGTGGTTCGGATGTCTAAGTATCATAACATCCTTAATTTTTCCTTTTTGGGTTTTTGACCAGCCATAATGTTTTGTTCTGCTAATAATTTTTGCTGTTAGCTTATGTTTTTGTTTTTACCGTGAATGTTGGCATCACGGTGCAGAATTCCGTCATCCCCTTCACTTTTTTCCATTTTTGCCATCAAGTAAGTGGTTTTACGTAGAGGAAGCTCCTGGGAGAGGGCCGAACACTCTGGCTTACTTCTCTCTGAACGCCTGAACGTGCATTCCCCCCGCAGGGCCGGCTCTCTACGTGTACAACAATGCAGTCTTCACCCCCGAGGACTGGCATGGCATTCAGGAGATCGCAAGGAGCAGGAAGAAGGACGACCCTCTGAAGGTGGGAAGATTCGGGATCGGGTTTAATTCTGTCTACCATATAACAGGTAGAGTATTTGCCTTTTCTGTCACACCAGTGCCAAGTATTTTCACCTATGTTTTGTAATTTATTTGGTTCACTTTGGAGATGATACTGTTTTAAAGGCATCGTTTCCAGATGAAAGCGGTTTCAGAGGCATCTCCCGAATTCTCTGGCAGCGGCGAGAAATATGCCAGTGAACTAGCAGCGTGTCTTGGGTTTTCTAAAGTTGCCACGGTAGCCACACCGAAGTGTCACCATGTGATGCCAGAAGTTAATGTCCTCACGGTCCAGTGGGACCGGTGTGATAGTATCTATTAAGTCACTTTACGTGAGGTTTGAAATGTAGCCCTTGAAATGCCTACACAAATTGTTACTCTCAGAATTTTCACACTGAACCTCTTTTGAGTCAGACCAACTGATTTTCATAGATTTTCTTTTACACGTTTTTAAATATCAAGCGACTAAAGACGAAAGTGTAATGCCCAGCAGTATTGAATGATGGCCAAAGTGAAGATCTTTGATTCTGGCTTCTCTACATTTTCCTCGTAAAACTTTTGCTCTTCTCAAACTTCTGAGTATTTTACTTTGTTCTATTTATTTTTTTAAAGCACTTGTTTAAATATTTATTTTTGAGAGAGATGGAGTGTGAGTGGGGGAGGGGCGGGGAGAGAGGGAGACCCAGAATCTGATGCAGCCTGGCTCCGAGCCGTCAGCACAGAGCCTGATGAACCGCAAGAACTCGGTTCGAACCAGCTCGAACCCAAGAACCCGCAAGATCGTGACCCGAGCCGAAGTCGGACGCTTAACCGACTGAGTCACTCAGGCGCCCCCCAGCTTCGAAGTATTTTAAAGATTACTTTGAAATCATGTGTTGAATCTAGAAAGAATATGAGGGTTCTGGTTCATAGTTAGAGCAGGAAATACTTGGAACTTGTGGTGTAGACATCTCTAAGAATGGATGACTATGTTTCCAGAGTCAAAGCTCTCGGTATTTACTGTAGTTTGTGGTAAAAGGTTTTTGTTTTTAATGTAATTGGCACCTTAGTTTCAAAACTCTGTTTGCGTTTTGAACTTGAAAGAGAAGGAAGGATTGAGCGGGCAGGGCTATAGCTATCGCTAGGGTGACCATATAATTCATTGTTCACATTGGGACACTGGTCAGAGTACAAGAGGGTGGTATTGTTCCCAAACAGCTGGCCAGCTGGCCTGAATTGGGACTACCCTTGGCAGGTGGGGGGACATAGGGTCACACTCACTATATAGCCCAATTTTACTAAGCCTGTTTTTTAAATTGCATTTATATTATTATATAGTCTTGTAAGTAAATAATACACTAAATCCTCTATCACAGCATTATATAACCATTATACACGAATGCGAAGATTCACGTGTTCAGCCATTTGCATGGTACCCCGTAGGTCCCTGACATACGGAAGTTTCACAATTTTATGGGGGCACCGACGTGAATTGCATGAGTGTGGAGACTGTTGTACAGGAATGAATTGTTTAGTCAGAGAGTCTAGCTGACTGCCAGCAAATGCTGTGGATTTGTTCCCTGTTTGAGAATGAGCACGTTTATGTGGGACAGTATTAACTGGAGTGTTATTCTCTAATCACAGGATTTGCAAAGGTCCGGCATCATGCTTTGTAACTGTCAGGAGTCTCCCTGACATAATTTAAGCAACGGGAGTGTGGACACGGTGTAAAGGGAGCACAGACAAGAGTGCCACCCGACCACGTTGTTGATCAATTTAGTGGCTGGGTTGGGGGACATCACATTTCATACTTAAAATACCTGAGAGCTTAGGAGTCGGTGTTTGTGACGGCTCAGCCTGCTGTTGGTGACCGTTGATACTGAAGGTGTGTCTTGCCTGAAGGTTAGGTGCTAACGTCCGCGTGTGCGGAAAAACGTGTCGAAATCACTCTCACGGAGTCCTTACAGGGGCACCGTGGTGAAGAATTTCTGTAGGTACGGAGCATCTGACATTCTAGTCGTTTTGCCAGTGTCTAAGTGTCATTCCGTCTTTGGTTGAGAAACAGGCGAAGCAGCTGGTACCAGTTTTATGAGCCACGCTGTGCACGCAGTGCACCTCCTGCAGCACCGCACTTGGGTTCTGCGTGGTTCTGAGATGTGCTCAGTGTGAGCGGCCGGGGGTGGAGGCGAACCCGGGGCTCACTGCAGACTCTCTCGGGGGCCTTTGCTCACTGAGGAGCATGGCGGGCAGTCGCTGTGCTGTGCTTTCTCTCCCCGCTTTTCAGAGAATCTGCGGTTGAAATTTTTATTGTGAGCCTGGGATGAAGTTGCGTTTTGCATAATTGGGCTCATGCGGCTGCGGAGATTGAGCATAAATACCCAAGTAGTCGTTGCATATCTCGTTTAACGGGTGTCTGAAGATACATCTTACATTTTCTCAGTAATCATTAGAAGTTTCCCTGCCTGATACTTACGGAATCAAAAGAGAAACCATTATGTTTCATGCTCAGAGAAATTAATTTCTGAAGCTAAATTTAGTTTGTTTTTAGATAAATCCGCATTAGAGTCTCTTTATGGTTTGTGCTCTTCCACACGTAATGCTTTGATAGTCAGTCTGCATTGTAATTATAATTGTCTATCAAATTTCAGAGTTGTTCATGAGTGTCGAATTTTTCTTTACAGATGTTCCCTGTATCTTTAGTGGTGACCAGATTGGGATGTTAGATCCTCATCAAACGCTTTTTGGTCCCCACGAATCAGGCCAGTGTTGGAATCTCAAAGATGACAGCAAAGAAATGAGTGAACTTTCAGACCAGTTTGCGCCATTTATCGGCATTTTTGGAAGCACCAAGGAAACGTTTGTAAATGCCAATTTTCCGGGAACATTTTTCCGTTTCCCCCTTCGCCTCCAGCCTTCACAGCTTAGCAGTAACCTGTACAATAAGCAGAAGGTTCTCGAGCTGTTCGACTCTTTCAGGGCAGACGCAGACACGGTGCTGCTCTTCCTGAAAAGCGTGCAGGACGTCTCCTTACACGTCCGAGAGGCCGACGGAACCGAGAAACTGGTGTTCAGAGTGACTGCGAGCGAGACTCAGGCCCTGAGACACGAGCGGCCGAATTCTGTGAAGATCCTGGAGACTGCCATAAGCAACTATTGTAAGAAGGTCCCAAGCAACAGCATCACCTGTGTCACGTATCATATAAATATAGTTGTAGAAGATGAGGATAGGAAGGACGCCCAGAAAACATCGTGGCTGGTGTGTAACAGTGTGGGCGGGCGAGGGATCAGCGGGAAGCTTGATTCTTTAGCCGACGAATTGAAGTTTGTCCCCATCATTGGAATAGCCATGTCTTTATCGAGAGACGGTGACGAAGAAGGAGCCACAGCTGATCTCTCAGGAAAAGCCTTCTGTTTTCTTCCTTTACCGCCGGGTGAGGAGAGCAAAACGGGCCTCCCTGTTCACATCAGCGGGTTCTTTGGCCTGACCGACAATCGCCGAAGCATCAAGTGGCGGGAGCTGGACCAGTGGAGAGACCCGGCGGCCTTGTGGAACGAGTTTCTGGTCGTGGACGTCATCCCCAAAGCCTACGCGACTCTCATCCTAGATTCCATCAAGCGCCTGGAGACGGAGAGGAGCGCCGATTTCCCCCTGTCGGCGGACCTCATCTACAGGCTTTGGCCCGACGCCGGCAAGGTCAAGGTGCACTGGCAGCCCGTGTTAGAGCCTCTGTTCAACGAGCTGTTCCAGAACGCGGTCTTGTACTCCGCGAGCAACCAGTGGGTCCGGCTGGAGCAGGCGTACTTCTCAGAGCTGGACGAGAGTGCGGAGTGCACCGCCGCCGTGCTCAACTACCTCCAGAGCTCAGGGAAGCACATCGTCAAGGTCCCGGCCAACCTGGCGGCCGCCGTGCAGCTGGCCGCCTCCCCCGCGAAGCCGGTGCGCAAGGTGACGCCCGCGTGGGTGCGGCAGGTGCTGCGGAAGAGCGCGCCCGCGGGCGGGGCCCGGGAGAAGCTCCACCTCCTGGAGTTCGTGCTCTCCGACCAGGCCTACAGCGAGCTGCTGGGGCTGGAGCTGCTGCCCGTGCAGAACGGGAACTTTGTGCCCTTCTCGTCATCTGTATCAGATCAAGATGTTATTTACATTACCTCAGAGGACTATCCCAGGTACGGCCCCGCCCCTGCCCGCCTCGACTCCCAGACCCCTTTAGTGGGAATCCACCTGTCGGCTGCGTGGGGGGCGGGGAGGCGGCGGTCAGGGGCCCTCTGGCGGAAGCATTTGTTAACGTGCCGCAGGGTCCCTTTGCACTCGTGGGAGGGTCCCTTTGCACCCGCTGAAGTGCAAAAGCGTTGGGGGCTGGGCCCGCCGGAGGGTGTCCCGAGCTGCTGCTGCTCTCCGGAGTGGCAGGCGCGGGCCACTGAAAGCCATGGTCCTAAAGTGCTAGGAATAACGAAGTAAGGGGAGTTAGCGATGAATTGTTTTCAGGCAATTCGATTGAATGGGAACAGTACATGAAGTCAACGTACCTGAGTGTGTGCGTGACATTTCAGAAAACAAAATGAATTCTGAGATGTTTAGACCCCTCTGGACTTGGGTTTGGTGCCTGCCGACATTTTAAGTTAGTGAAGCCTGGCTAAGATTTGCTCAAAAGGTATTGCCGTGTGATCACACTGCGGGCAGTGTGATTTATGCAAGCTAGCACATTTAACTGCCTTGAA